ACTCATTCTAGGAGGAAAGCATCCAAAGGTTCCGTGGTGAATGGATACATATAGGGATTTTGGCGATGGTTANATTTTTAATCAATTGATTTTTGTGAGAAAGATGAAACTCATGAGAAGAAAGTGCCGAAATTCGGATAGGAATTATGGGACAACCCAATATTTGCATTTTTTGGACAGTTCCCTGTAATATTTAAGAGATTCAGAGCTTTGAAATCTCGTGGCTATACAATCCAGAATTGCATTGCCCTCAATGCCTGAACATAATTCCAAAGTTCCCGTTCAGTAGCCTGTTGGGGTGCTGGTGCAGGGTTCCGGTAAAATATTGTCCACTTGTTCATTTTAGACCCTTGTGCTTGAAAATGCTGCCTTGGTTTGCAGCCGAGTGAGGAAGCTCAATTCATTTTTTTCTCTACCCCTTCCGAAGACCCAGAATTTAATTGCTCAAAAGACAAGGAAAAGACCGAAGCACTGTGTTCCAAATGTTTATTGAAACACGACAATGAAGTGATTAGTCGTATGAGCCAGATCGTTTATTATGATGCTACCATGACGAGCGATTCAGAAGCATTTGCGATGTACGATGACGTCGCCATACTCGTCGTATTCGGACTTCGTGATCCACATGGAATGGAACGTCGACAAGGACGCCAACACTGAACCGCCGATCCATACGGAGTACTTGCGCTCCGGTGGAGCCATGATTTTTATTCTCATTGTGCTGAAACAGCTTGGTTACAATGGTACTTGTTTCCTTAACTGGTTGTTCGAAACAGTATTTCAGTAAGCTCTTTGGTGGCTTTACTAAAGGTGAGATTAAAAAATGTTAAGAAAGTGCTAAGAAATATACCTCGGAGCTAGTGATGCAAGGTCCTTTTTCATGCGATCAGTGATACCCGGAAACATGGTGGTGCCACCGGAGAGCACAATATTGGCGTAAAGGTCCTTACGAATGTCGATGTCGCAATTCATAATCGAGTTATAGCAATTCTCGTGCACACCACCCGACTCTTTTCCAAGCAGGCTTGGCTGAAATTTATTCAAAATTCAAAGCAGAATGATCAGCTGGCGCTTGCTTTCACTATAAAACCCTGCCTTTCTTGGCAATAGTAAAACTACTCTAAGGCACTTTTCGCAATCAGTTATGCGCAATTGCTGTGCTGAAGAAAGTGGCGAGGCTAGTAGACCTATTTCAGAGGAATTCAAAAAAAAAGTGAACTCTAGGACCAGTTTTTCCCAATGAGACATAGTATGCTAGTACGAGGCACTGCACATCGAAGAGAGAGTGCAGACGAGATAACAGACTGGACGAGAGAATAAAAATACTCCTTATATTGAGGTGTGTCACAGCCGCAACCATGGGCAACCAGGTAGAGAAGCCTCCAGCACCCTTGTCGCGCACATTGAGTCATGACGGTATAACTACCTTTGCGGTTGCGGATCTAGTTACCCCATTCACGGAAGGGATTGTTCCGAAAAGCTAGTCAAGGAATGTGACTTCAAACACTTAAAGGCAGAATTCACGATGAAAAGTTAGCTTATTAGAAATAAAGGTAGAGGTGGTCAGTGGAGCAGAGAGAGCAGAGCAGATAAGAAACCACTTGAAGCGGCCCGAAACCCGAAAAATAAGACCCCTTCTTTGCCCGTTGATTCGCGCATTGATGCGATCACTCATCGTTGTTCCTTCTTGAGCTAATGCTCTCTCAGCTATCTAATCACTCGCCACGTATAGACCTGCGGCGAGCGATTAGATATTTGGTGGGCGTTTCGCGCCACTACCGCCGAAGGGAATGCCATGCTAATCGCCGAGGTCAAATACTTTTCCTGCCAATTGCGTGTCAGGCAGCACCCTCAGAGGTCAGCCTATTTCCCAACTATGGGACTTTCCCCTTCTTTCACCTTCGCTCTCATCGTAAATTGCTCCTGTAAGCGCCGAGAGTTCTAGCCGCGTCTGAACTCTCCGTAGACAGATTCAACACGTTGATGACACGCCCTTGTTGTGCCCATCTTATCCATTTGGGGTCGGGAATTTTGTATCAGTAGTTACCGATTCACTAATAATTTGATTTTTGGTCGATGAAATATTTTTCGAATCGATAATGAATATGCGACAGTTCTTGAAACGTAAAAGAAAGGCAAATCAAGCAAATCAGGTTTACTGCGGGACGTATGTGAGTACCGCGGTTGCTGTCAATGGGTTAAAGCAAAGGTCGGGCTCAGTCGCGCATAGAGGAGTGTAATTGTCATTGCCGGAGGTGTAGTTGTGTGCTAGACTGCACACAATGCAGCAACTTTCCACTTGAGAATGTCGGTTAAGCCCCCGGCGGCGTCGGTTTCAATCCGGAAACCGCCTCTGTCAATCGCGGACGCCCACTCCGAGAGGTGCGTTGCGGCTGGCATAACGTGTGGAATTAAGCTAGCGATGATTGCCGAGTCAACTGATCAGAACGATGACATCTCCAGAGAACTTGTTTGTACGTGCTCTTCCCAGCCGGCTCCTCCTTCATGCTAAAGCGAAAAGGGTTTTGTTAAACAGGCCTCTGTCGATGGTTTTTTCTCAGTTGTTCTCCACGGTCGTCAACTTTCGCATCTCAGCGGTCAAGCGTGCGTGAGGATCCACGACGCTGCCACAGAGAGCGGGGGGTCGTATTGGCCGCTTGGGGAGAGATCGGGCCCGATTGTACAGTAGGAGCATCGTCGGGAGGGACAAACTTAAGGATCGAATCGATACAGCCAGAGTATTCCCAATAACAATTGATTACGTCCACACAAAAAACTTCGTTATTAATTTAAGAGGTGTCCGCCTTAGCAAATCTTAGTGACTTTAGTGTTTCATCACCACACAGTCAAAGGATCGATAGTGCACGTTTTCTAGGGAATATTTTATCTTTCAGGTAGGTCCTCAATCCACAGAGATGTGAAGCACACGGCGCCATCCCAGAGTGGGCCCAGTGATTTGCGCGGCGCTGTCAGCTACGGCTGATTTTGATTAACGAATCTCATATTCAGGAAGAATCAAGAGGGTTCTGAAAAGAATCATGTTGAGATTACAGAGAGGAGTCAGATTCAACAGAAAGCAGACATTCAGTGTCAAATTCACAAGCATGTACCTTTTGAGTTGAGGCGCCGCTCAACCAATTCACAACTTTTTGCAAAGAGAAAAGCCACGAGGATTTGAGAATCTGCCCCTACTTTCAGTATGTAATCGCTCTGCAAGGAAGCTATTAGTCGTTGGGATAAGCTAAATGTTAGCGAAAAGTACCCTCGTCGCGGTACTCGGGGCAAAAGGGCCTCAACGTGGCATTTTTTAAATAGTGAACGCGATTTTTAGCAGTTTTAGTTGAAAGAGCAAAGGCTGCTATTGATGAATGAGTGTTAACTTCAGGATTGCATGAGTTTGAACGGAGTTTATTGTTTGGACAGCGTAAAAAAACTCGCACTCATCACGAATGGTTCCTCGTTAATTTTGCAAATTCCTCAACGCGGCCATTTTTGAGTACTGGGAGTATTGGACCTGCTGTAACGAACGCTTTGATAGAGAAATCTATCTAGGTTTTGTTTCATGACGTAGGGCAACTTTTCGAATTTGACTAGGGAATGAAGCAAGTTATTGCTCCGGAAAGTGTAAAAAATCGTGTCGTCTATAATGGTTCCTCCGTTATTTGATCTAAATTTGTTAATTTCTTATGAATTCAGTAGTTTCAGGACTGATTGAAAAAAGCTCCTCGCCAGTTCTCCAAATCAACTTTCAGATGGGGAAAATTCGGTAACTTTGAAGAAATTGATAATCATTTGATTTGTTCATATTTTCAATAGTAAATAAGTGCTCCACGGTCAACGCCAAAAGGTTCAGTAACACACAGCATGCGAAGCTTTTTCGAAGAGCTTCCTTTGAGCGAAAGGGGACGTTGTAAACTGAGAACCTAATTCTGCTGCAGTACTAGAATTTGGTAGTTCTTAGTGCGAGACAATTAAACAAAGAAGAGGTGTGTGTCATAGTTGTCACTGGCCATTTCTTGTGACTAGTTTTGACTTTTGCTCCAGTTCTCGGTTGCTCGTTTGACGGATCGTCGATTAATGATCATTCTTTAGACTTTTTCATTTATATACTTTTTTAACGAGTTTTTTTTGGGGGTTTAGCAGAAGCTTTTTTATGAGCAGTTTTGGTAGAGAATTTAAAGCACTTTTTCCACAATGTTGCGGTTTTTTAAAGAGGGTTGTTTCAGGGGGACTTGCGTCCTCGGCAGAGGGAGGGGGGGGCGTCGTATTTGCCGAATTTTCCTCGACGCCTCGCTTGACCCTGCTATACTTTGCTTTTCAATCGCCATAAATACCCCTTTAATAAGCCCAGACTGTTTACTTCAAGTAGCCTTTGGGAAATCCAAGTGATTCGTTTATAGATACCCACCTGGAAGAGAACTTCAGGTGCGCGGAAGCGCTCGTTTCCAATTCGGATCTCCTGACCATCGGGAAGTTCGTAGTACTTCTCAACAGCCGTCGACTTCACCGACTCGGCCATTTCCTGCTCGTAGTCGAGTGCAACGTAGCAGAGCTTTTCCTGAAACGGCATCGCCCATCTCCTCAAACAAAGAGCAGCGTTCGGGACGAGTTGTTGGTTGAGCAGTAAAGGAGCACTGAGGTAAACGCACCTTGATGTCGCGACAAATCTCTTTTTCGGCTGTGGTTGTGAAAGAGTAGCCACGTTCAGTGAGGATTTTCGTAAGGTAGTTGGTTAAGTCGCGTCCAGCAAGATCGAGCCTCAGTACTGCATGTGGCAGGGAGTAGCCCTACAACGAATGTTTTCTAGTACGTACGAATGAAATGGAACGGCCAGGCTCCTACCTCATAGGTGGGCACAGTGTGGGTGACCCCATCTCCCGAATCAAGCACGACACCGGTAGTTCTTCCAGAGGCGTAGAGTGACAGAACAGCTTGAATTGCCACGTAAAAAGCAGGCGTGCGGAAACTCTCAAACATAATTTGCGTCATTTTCTCGCGATTGGCTTTCGGGTTCAACGGCGCCTCTGTCAGTAGCACCGGATGCTGACTGGGAGAAACTCGTAACTCATTGGCAAAAGCGTGGTGCCAAATTCGTTCCATATCGTCCCAGTTGGTTACGATTCCATGCTCAATGGGGTATCGTAGCGTTAAAATGCCTGGAAATATCAGGTTGATCAGTTTGAAAATTTTGGCGAGTTGATTATTCATCAAAAGAAGATGAAGAACACTTCGAGAAGATTTAACAAAAATGTTGGGTTGTGAACAGAACTTCTGCCCTAAACGGGACTCGAACCCGCACCTCTTGCTTACTGAGCAAGTGCGTTCCAAGCAAACGCTAACCTGGCAGCCATATCATGACCCAACTTCAGGCTTTTCACGGTATCGGTTGTCCCGCTTGTCAACGAACAGCAGGTGTAGGCCGTGTTGAGCGGTTGAAATTAAAACAAATCAAAAATGAGTTGTTGAACAGCTTTCCAGCCTTGCTGCTCATCTGGTGATGTCGGCTAACCGCTATAAATCATTACTAAGCTGTGAGTGCTACCAGGCTACGTATAACTTATCCCATGAACAAGCTTGGCCAGATTTAACGATGTCACCCGGTAAGGCGTAACTTGGAGCGCGTTGTCCGGTCAGGCAAGCAGCGGTGCCGGGTTCGAGTCCCGTTGGAGGAACGAACCATTTTTGTTCAACTAGCCACACTCATTCTTGTGAAGGTTTCGCAAGGCGAACTTGGCCAAAACGCGCACTCACATATAAAAACACTTGAAGAGAGAACAAACTTTCTCGCCGCTTTTTGGGCAATTTACGGTCACTAAGTACTCATACTCTCTCCTCATGAATCCATGGTTCATGATGTAACATCACCCACCTTCTTGCTCCACAAATATCTTTGGTATTGTATTGTGAGGCAAGAACGGACTAACGAAAATAAAAGTGATTGTACTAATATTTTTCCAGTACGGTCCACTCGCAGTAACTTTCACATTTTTAAAACTAACCAGGTTTAGCTCTCCTGCCCCGCTATACCGCATCAACAGGGTAGGGAGGGACCAACGGAATAGCACCATGACGTAATACTCATCAACCGAACACTCACTATTGCATGTGTTATACCTACCTTATACCCTTCCTCTCCGGCGCATGCAGCGCCAATGTTCTTGCGTAAGTCAACCCTTCGTTGCGCAGTCTTCAACGAGCCCCTACGTTGGCGCAGTTTTCCGGGCCCGGAATTAGACACGTTTCTCTTCGCGCCGAAACATTCACCCCTCCGCACGCTCCGAGCCGTCTGTGTCTGACCGTCGATACAGCGTGCGTTTGAGGATCTCTCAAACGTGCCTTTGCGTACGCGCAACGAGGGTTTGACTCTGGTATCTGTCTCCCTTTTTCATCTCCCCTTCCCTGCCTCTTTTCTCCTCTTCCCTGGATTTTTGTGAGGGGTCGCTCCGAGGACGGACCAGAACAGAAGACACACACACACCGACAAACCACACACCAAAGTTCTGGGCTTATATAATGAAAGTAATACTCAAATTAACACTCCTTCGTGCAAACACCCAGTCATATAGATAATGTATTACCATAACTAATCCACGACTTTTTCTGTCAATCCAGTCACATTTTGAGTGAATACCTTATTCCTAAATTCGTGCTCCATTTTGACCCGCTAGAAGACAGCGCATTCAATGGTCGAGGTGCTCAAGCGATCGTAGTAGGGTAAGAAACAGTGTAAACGATGCCGCTTCTTCTCAGAGTAGTATAATCAAGTGAGCGAGCAAGTCGCAGTACCGCTTGGTGCGACATACTAGTTGAATAACTTCGGAGTGAAAAAGCACTAGGATCCTCATGCTTCTGCATGATAGTACCGAGTTTTGTATGTCGTAATGGCTGATGCTTTGAACGAGTTATAGCGATTAGACTTGAAGGCAAAGGAAAATTCCCTTTTGTGAATAAGGTACACGGTCCCCTAAGCCCATGGCGGGGAGGATCCTGGTACCGTCGTAGAACTCGCAAGGCAAGTTGAAAAACGGCGAGGATTCTGCGTCCAATCGCTCTCTCTGTGCGAGAGTGGAACCGATAGTAAATACGCGCGGAGAAGCACATACAGTCCGGGTGCGAGAGACTATCCGCGCGCAGAGAAAGTATGGCCGCGTTTCATAGTTCCCGACTCGGGAAGGCATAGTAGCGATATCGAAATACTAGATAGCGTAGAGTAGGAAGATGCGCTGAACAGATTGTATGTTATCGATTGAAATTGCTGAAGAGTGAAAAGAAGATTGGGCGACTTCCAAGCCAATAGATCATACCCATATCTGATTTTTGTCAGCCGCACTCTCCTGAAATCTACTGCAAATCGCTACTATACTACTACTCCTACATATCCTAGCATCCAATCTCGTAATCCACTCCTCTCCGGCGATTTCAATCGATATCAATCTAAACTTGTTCAGCGCAGCTATTGCATCCTAACACTCTCCCACAAAAAGTATCTAATCTGCTACTCATCCTAATCATCTCGCCGTCAATACACAATCTTTTTCATTGTCGTCGCACCTATCACTATACCGAAATCGCGAAACTATGAACGGCCTAAAGGATAGGGTGGGAAATCTCCGACCTGCCGTTGAGGAATACCTTTTCAGAGTATGTTTTTCATACATTCAATTCCTTCAACTCCATAGTCCCTGCTCAATTGATTTGAACGAAGTCCGCCTCTACATAATTCGGAAAATTTATGGGCCTTTTTTTCGCAGAATATGCAAGGCCTTGGCAAGAAGATCAGCTTACCTCTCTTCATTTTGGGCTTCCGCCCTACAAACGAGTCTTCTTCACCATTCCGATCATAACCCCTGATGACGTTTGGACTGCCCGCCGATCGAAGGAAAAACGGCTCTCGAGCCGCCGTCGTCACCGGCGAATCCGCGCTTTGCGGACATTCGCGCGGAACCACTGTGATCAACCAAAGGCCGAGCAACATTACTTCACGCTTAACTAGCCGTCATTTGCAATGTTTCTGAAGAAGCAGACATTCGTGCCGTATTCTACACAGGGTAGAAAATGTCTACAAGCACACTTATTCCGTTTGACTGACGCGCAGATTACAAAATTTGTAGAAACTAATCTGAACGCACTGCTCTGGTAGGGATGTGATAAGTTAAAGATAATCGGATTTGTTGACTTACAATTCATTTCAACTTCCCCTTTGCCAAATCCATTGTTAACGCTCGTCATTCATATACTTCACGATAACGTCGCAGAAAGGAGTGCCAAAGGCGACACGCAAAAATTTCTGATAGCTAACACAATAATGCAACTCCCGGGGGTCTCTAGATTGTTAACAAAACAAACCGCAACTGACAAACTATTATTGACGTCTTGTCTGAGTTTCACTCTGTAAAATAGAAGAAAAAGAAACAGGCATACGACGTTAAGATCTACATAAGAATTGCTCTCGGCATCCAACCGTACTTAACTAGAACATTTTTTCTTCCGGTGTCTTTGCTCCATAATTCATATGGTTCGCCGCTCTTGACGGAGCTCTCGCAGTTCTAGCACACCGCTGAACATACACTTTGGCTCAGTCGCCCCTACAAGACTTCCCGGGAAACTAACTCCCAGAGAGATGACAAAGTGAATGCCAACGCGACGCACCTGATGCTCTATTGGCTTCCATGCAAACTTCCGCGATGAGCACTTTTGAACAGGTCCCCTGCGAATCAGTTTCCGGATTCTTGCGCGCACAGGTCATATTCGCCACTTAAAGGATTCTTTCAGGGAAAACCATGACTTGTCCATTTCAGCCATAAAATCGTTGCTTAGACACATTATTTACGATAAGAATGAAAGAACCAGAAAACATCGCTTTAGTTTTGGAAAAAGTCGAAAAATTGAAAGGACTGCTACACGTTCAATAGTGCCCCACGGACGTCTCATCACAAGTCTGGCGACGGGGATGCTTCCGACACCAGGATCAACCCCCGTCCACGGTTCGAACATCTTTCAGATTTTTGAGAGAACCACGCGCAATCCAACCAACCCATCCCCCACCCGCGACCTCTCCCTCTTACTATAATATTTGACTCTGAAACAAGTCGACACCAGCCCCAAACACTTACCCTAAAACTCCGAAACTGCCGCCACTTTTTCCTCAAAATAGCGTCGAGCGGGGGGGGGAGGTAATACCAACCACTAGAAACGGCAACTTTTTTTCCCACAGCCCTCTGCCCTACCTGAATAACCGAAAGCACGCAATGCGACCCTTTTCCCCTCCCAGCAGCCCAAATGCTTCCCCCCTCCGTTCGACCTGTTTTCGACACCGACGTTCGACCCTGGCTTCCCCGTTCTTTGGAGTGCCCTTCACTACGAAACTCTTTCTAAGGCCATTTTGCTTATAGGCTTACATGCTCCACTTTTACTCCACTCTATTCTAATCGATCGATTTGAAACCGAACCGGAGCGCTTCAACTTCGATTCTTTCATTTCGTCGTGTGATACGTACCGAACAACAGCGCAACCTTCTACCCACGCCTTGTCTTTGCTCCGTCAATTCCCTATCTCGATGTTTCATATAATGTAGTTTTGTACGTTTGGTTTTTCTTCGAAACCGATAACTGTTCATGCCGCGCGAAACTTTGTATGTGATGTTCTGTCGGAATCAGCAAACTGGCACATTCATTTCCAGCAAGTAATTTTCGCGCGAAGGATTCCTTTAACACGTTGTGAAGCGTCGTAATGCTAAAAGTCTGCACTTCAACCCTTTGGATGACAATGAGGATTTGCAAACTAGCGGCGCGTAGGACCACGCCGCTCCTTTACTCAACTAAATGGGCAATAATTCGTCACTCCTAAAAGCGGTTTTTTCTGGCCATTCTGACTTTTGGCTATACACAAACCGAAAACACGAAAAAATGAGATGCATTAAAAGATATCCGTGCACTCCAAAGGGTGACCAGACTAGGAGATGAAATAAACTGACCAGTGACCGGACTACTGACAATATTACCTGATAAAAATTTAGAAAAGATTATTGCTCCAATTGAAATGCTGAAATCTTCACGTTCTTCAATTGCAACACAATTATTACACCCCTCTTTCTGAGGCTACAACCTCCTTCATATTCGAGCTTCTGTGCCAAAGTGATTTGATTTGTAAAAGTCAAATTATTCTCTCTCCAACCATGGGTAAAAATTCTTCGAAAGATAATTTGGTAA